AGTTCCAAATGAGGTGTGTGGTTGGCCAGTCAATTCTTCACTCTGGTGTTCGTAACTCTGAGGTCTGTGGGAGCTGGGAAACCAGACTGTGTGGTTTCAGAGTAGCAGCCGTGTTAGTCTGTATCCGCAAAAAGAAAAGGAGGATTTGTGGCACAAGCACTGAGCCACAGATCGGGGCGGGGGTGTCAGGAATGATGCACTGACTGTCTGCATGACTGGGGCACAAGGCCTAAAATGAAACGGTTCAATTAGTTTTGGGTCTTTTGAGGTGTTTTCACCCTTTCTTGCTATCGAAAATTAGCTACAATCCTAAACAAACGGACATTTTGAAATGGCTGAAATGAACCGTTTCTACTTTTCCAGGAAACCATTTCTGTTTATTTCCAGCGGAAGCCTCGCAGATCGGTTTAAATGCCCCCAACAGGTATTTTTCAGCAAATTTACTATTTGCCAAAATAATGGCACCTGGCTCTCAGCTGAATCCTTCTCCCAGAGACGTCTCCTGGCTGCTGGCTGCCAATTAGGTGGCAAAGGATCTTCACATACACCGGGGAAAGAGCACAAATCCCGTCCTGTTGTTTGTGTTAAAGGTCTGCGGCTCGTTAAGTCTTGTTCCGCCGTCATGCGGCACAATGTGCTAAGACACCTCATAAATCATCACCCAAGTTTGCTCTTCTATAGAGCGAGCAGCTCGCTTTCAGGAGATGTTGGGGGCAGGGGGGTGTGGGAGCTGTTCACCGATCAAAATAACTTGTGCAGGGAAGAAAAGAGGAGGGGAAACTGCTTTCCTGAGGGGTGGGTGTGGTCTAAGGCCCATGGGTCCCTCAGGGATGTGAACAGCCTTGGTTCACCCTGACCCACAGACACATATGGGCTGATTTGGAGCCCAGATCTGCAAGGTGCTGGGTGCCTTCAATTTTCGGAGGCTTCAAGGGGAGGGCAGGGTGCTCTGAACATTGCAGGAGGTGCCCAGCGCCTCACAGGCTTGGGTCCCTGGTTCCGTCCATCTTGCTGCTGGCAGGCTAGAAGGGAGAATGGAAGGCTGGTCTGGTAGCTCCGAGAGATTTATGTGGAGGATTCTGTTGACTCATCCAGCCCATGTTTAGCCTTAATCTACCTATACCCGAGGCGTGGATGATAAAATGCACCGTTCAGCCATGCTGCTGCAAGGAGAGGAGTAATTACGGTATCCCTGACCTAATGCAATATATTGAAGAGCCTGGAGGAAGCAGAGAACAACTCCTGGCTGATTCAGCACAAGAACACAGAACTTTCCCTTCTGTATTAGACATAAGAACGCCCATACTGGGTCAGGCCAAAGGTCTATCTAGCCCAGTGTCCTGTCAGTGCTTCACAGAGAATGAACAGAACAGGGCAATCCCCTGTCATCCACTCCCAGCTTCTGGCAGTCAGAGGTTTAGCGACACCCAAAGCATGGGGCTGTGTCCCTGACCATCTTGGCTAATAACCATTGATGGACCTATCCTCCAATAACTTACCTAGTTCTTTTTTGAATCCAGTCATATTTTTGGCCTTCACCACATCCCTTGGCAAGGAGTTCCACAGGTTGACTGTGCGTTGTGTGAAGAAATACTTCCTGATGTTTGTTTTAAACCTGCTGCCTATTAATTTCATTGCATGAGCCCTGGTTCTTGTGTTAGGTGAAGGGGTAAATAACACTTCTCTCCTGACTTTCTCCAGCCATTCATGATTTTACACATCTTTAGCATATCCCCCTCTAGTCAACTTTTTTCTAAGATGAACAGTCCAAATCTTTTTAATCTCTCCTCGAACGGAAGTTGTTCCATTCCTCTACTCATTTTTGTTGCCCTTCTCTGTACCTTTCCCTTTTTAAAATGGGGTGATCAGATCTGCACACAGTATTCAAGCTGTGGGCACACCATGGATTTATATAGTGGCATTGTGATATTTCCTGTCTTATTATCGATTCCTTCTGTTAGTGTTTTTGACTGCCACTGCACACTGAAAAGATGTTTTCAGAGAGCTATCCACGATGACTCCAAGATCTCTTTCTTGAGTGGAAACAACCAATTTAAACCCCATCATTGTATATGTATAGTTGGGATTATGTTTTTCCAATGTGCATTACTTTGCATTTATCCATAATGAATTTCATCTGCCATTTTGTTGCCCAGTCACCCAGTTTCGTGAGGTCCCTTTAGTACTCTTTGCAATCAGCTTTGGACATAACTATTTTTGAGTGATTTAGTATCATCTGCAAATTTTGCCACCTCACTGTTCACCTGCTTTTCCAGATCATTTATGAATATGTTGACTTGAACAGCACAGATCCTTGGGAGATGCCACTAGTTACCACTTTCCATTGTGAAAACTGATCATTTATTCCTCCCCTTTGTTTTCTGCCTTTTAAACAGTTACTGATCATGAAAGACCTTCCCTCTTACCCCATGACTGCTCACTTTGCTTAAGATCTTGCCTTTGGTGTGGGACCTTGTCAAAGGCTTTCTCAAAGTCCAAGTACACTACATCCAGTGCGTCACCTTTGTTCACATGCTTGTCACCCTCAAAGAATTCTCCTGTATAGGTGAGACATGATTTCCCTTTACAAAAGCCCTGTTGACTCTTCATCTCGGGGTCTGATCTTTACTAAAGTTTCTGCCAGTTTGCTTGGTACTGAAGTTAGGCTCATTGGCCTGTGATTGGGTCAGGAACCATAGGTCTCGAATGCTGGTCCACAGGGTGCTTTGGCATTAGCAGGCTCCATCGGGGCACCCAGAGACCTGCTAACTGTTGTCTCAATAGGAGCTGAACTCCGACAGTGGACCCCAGTCCTGGGAGCTGATTGGCCGAACACTGGGGGCCCTGATTGGCTCACAGCCCCTCTTTAGACCCAGCATATGAAGAGGAGATTGTACATGCAACTGGGATCCACCTTGCTCAGGGCCGTGTGCCTTGCGCTTCCCGCTCCTGCGGCTTGACTTCCTGGTATCCTGAGCAGGCCTGACTCTGGTTATCAAGCCGTGGTTCTGCTCTCAAGTTGTCTCCTGCTTCTGTTCTCCTGGTAACCTGACCCTGCCTAACTCCTGACACGCCACTTGCAGTTTGCCCTCTGGCCTATCTTGGACTCTGACCTCCTGGTAGCTGACTTCTGCTCTGACCACTAGGTCAGACTACCCACTCCTAGTCGTGACAAATAGCTAGGCTCACTTTTGGAGCCTGTTTTGAAAATTGATGTTACCCACGGGCCATCTCACCCAGCAGCCTGTCTGCCAAAGAGGCCACATATGCCAGAAGAAGACGAAATCTTCCATAATGCAGCCTAGGCCCTGTCTGCACTATCCGGGTTAGCCCAGTTTGCAGCCAGTGAGTGACGCGAGTTGGCTGGTGGGTGGCCTACGTGAAATGAGTTTGCTGGGCCTTGATCCATTTGCTGATGGACATCACCCAGCCCTGCCTGCAACTGGCAGCCTCAGTGGCGAGGCTAAGGAGTGAGTGGCATGCTTCTTGCAGCCCTCGGGAGGCTCTCTGCCCTGCAGTGTGGGCAGGGCATCTTGCTCTGGTACTGCCCCAGCTGTACCAAGACCTTCCCTCTCCAGGATGGTAGATTTGGTCCATTTTTATCAGCGTTACATCGATTATCTTGATTTAAAAAGACATGCAAAGCCCTGCTCTTTGTCCCCTTATTCCATCTTGAAACACAAAGGATCCGTGTGGTATTTACCCCAGCAAACCTATCAAGACCCCCCCCCCCCCCCCTCCTGACACCTGTCCCCTCCCAGGGTGATTCTTGCTGGACATTAGCGAAATGTATCACATGCAGCACCGTCCTCTTCCCCACCCCGTTCTGCCATCTACAATATCAAACCACTTACACTCTGCAAGTACTTGAGCTTTGATGCCTGGTCTTTGGAGGACTATTGACTTTTGTGAAGTACTCTGGTGAGCTGAAGTGCTTGGCGGGGGATATGACACTTCCCTCCCATGGAGCACCCTTAGGTACCCGTGCCAGAGCTGCTTTGGATGTGTCTCGGTTTCGGTGCATGGCAAGCAGGGGGAAGGGGGGGTTTTCAGGTGAGGCTTTAACAAAGCCCTTACGTTAATTAGTACTTACTGAGCTAGCTACCACTCTGAAACCATTGAATTCAGTAGACACAGATTGCAGATTCCAGGGCCCTGGGCCCAGAATGCCTGTCTCCAAATCTGCTCCTACGACTCCTTTATTGAAACCCAGGAAGGCGAATCCTGTCTCGCCTGTCTATTCCACGTGTCTAAAGGACCTGGGTGTCCCGGCCTTACTAGGAATTCGGGATGGGAGGGAGGGGAACTGTGCAAAAGCCTCCAAGACTGGCAACGAGGAAGACAAGATTCATTAGCTCCATGTTGCAGATGGGGAAACTGAAGCACAGGGAAGGTAAGTGACTTGGCCGAGGTCACACAGGGAGCCAGTAGCAGAGCTGGGAACGGAACTTCGGAGTCCCCGACTCCTAAACCGATGCGGTCATCCTTCTGCTCTCTTCTTCAGGGCGCTGCTAGATCGCGGGGGCCTGGCTCTTGTCTGATTTGCACCGCTGCGAATCCATCCCAGCCCGGAGCTGCGAATCCATCTACCAGCCTGAGAGAGAGAATGGGGCACAGGGGCTGAGATGAGCTAGGCTTGGGCAGGATCCTTGGGCTGACAAGTTCTGTGCCTGACCTCAGACAGTGGCCAACACCCGGTGCATCAGGGGAAGATGAGACTCCCTTCAGGCACCTGGCCCTCTGCACAATGCTGTCCACACACAGAGGAGAAGGGTCCCACCAAATTCTTCCCGCAGCAGGAGATCTGCTTAGCCCCAGGACCTCGCCTGGCCCTTAGGAAAGGACTCTGCCCACCTCCCAGGCCCTGGGGAAAGCTGCAATTGCCTGGGAGGAGAAGGAAAAGCAGGCGAGGCAGCAGCGGCCCCCGGTTGCAGGCGGTGTCTCTCCTCTAGCCCCCTCAGCCGGGCCATTGCGCGCAGCCAGCGGGAGCGAGGAGCTCTGTGCCAGCCGAACGCCAGCTGCGCGCTGGAGCGCGGGGCGAGGCGCAGGAGCAGCCGGAAAAGCCGGGGGCAGCTGTGTTAGGAGGAATACGGCTCGGTTGCTGAGGTCTGTGTTGGGGAGGTTTCTGGCGCCCGTAATGAATGAATTGTGGCAGGAGAGCGGGTATAAAAGGAAGCGGCGGGGCTCGGGCACCTCATTCCTAGCCCCGAGCCAGCCGCGGACCGGCTGCCTCCCCCCCTCTGGCTCGGCTTGCGGATCCCCCGCCGGCAGGTAGGCAGCCGGGGGTGTGCGCTGCGTGCCGGTCTGGGGGCGCCCCCCCCCGCAGCTGGGGTTCATTGCTCGCAGGTCTGGGGGGGGGGCGCGCCTGGGGGCCCCTCAACGCGAACCAGCCCTAGCAAAACCCAGATGGCGTAATTGCGCGGGGTATCTTTCCTTCGTAGCATCCGGAACAGGAGGGTTACAGGGGAGCCGTCCTGCTCTTCTTCCCCCCCGCCCAAAGAAGTTAGTTGGAGGCCGGCCAGGAGCCGCCCGCAGCCCCCTGCGCCCGCGGGACGCCAGCCACAGGTGCCCGCCTGAAAACTTCACGCCCGTGGTGGAGCCGGGGGCACGGCTGCAAGGTGGGGGAGCGGGGACCCCTATCCCAGGCTGGCCCCTCCGCAACTGACCGGCGTGCGCTCAAATGCCCCGTCTCCGCCAGGAGATCACCGGCCACGAGGCGAGCCCGGTGCGCCCTCGCTGGCTGCCCGCGGCGGGGCCAGGCAGGCGGGTGGGAAGCGGGGGCGATCCCAGGCGCTCCGGGCGCCCCTGGAGGGGGCCAGCGGCTGGCGAATGGCCCCGAGGGCAGAGCAGAAGCGCGGCTGGGCCCGGCCTCCCTCCCCGGGGGGCTGGGCGCTGCGGATGCTGCTTGTTTCCCTCCGCCGGGGGGAATCGATTTTCGGCGGCTGGCTCGGCTCGGCCCGGCTCAGCCCGGCCGGGGGGAGGCGACGCGCGACATTCCCGGGAGCCGGGGCTCTGCAGCGGAGAGAAGTTAACTGCGTCTGTCGGTCCTATGGGTGCTGGTGGCCCCGGGGCTGGCAGGTGGCGGCGGGAGCGCTAATGCGCTGGGGCTGGGGGTGGGGGGATGGATTTCAAATCCAGGTCAGATTGGGGGGGGGGACCCAGTGGCCAAGGGGGGCTGGACACCCCCGCCCCACCCCCGAGCGGACTCTGCAGCCAGCGAAGTGTTTGCAGAGCTCGGGGGAGGGTTGGTTGATAGACCCCGCGGGCTGCAGCCAGGGCTGGGCGAGTGACTCAGGGCGGCCGGGAGCCACTGGCTCCAGACGGCTCCGCTCGGCCGGCCGGGCCCAGAAGTTGGCCGGGGAAATACCGCGGCTCGGGCGAGTCGTGGCAGGTTTGCTCGGAGCGGGGGGTGGTGGTGAAGCAGCAGGTTGGATCGGGGTGATTGGGAGGAGATGGGGGGGCGCCCCAAACCCGCTCTGAATTCCAGCCCCCTGCAGCAAGGTAGGGCTGGCAGATACACCGACCTTCCCAGACCTCCCAGGGAGGGGGCAATCCCCTTCCCCCGCACCTCACAGATACGGGCCCCCAATCCCCCCTGGAGCCCCACAAAAGGGGCGGTGCCAATCCCCCCGACTCAAGCTCCAACCCCCCATAACCCTGTGGAAGAGTGGGGGGGAAATCCCCCCTGAGCCCCATTGTAAGGACCGGTTTCAGAGTAACAGCCGTGTTAGTCTGTATTCGCAGCAAGAAAAGGAGGACTTGTGGCACCTTAGAGACTAACCAATTTATTTGAGCATCAGCTTTCGTGAGCTACAGCTCACTTCATCAGATGCATACCGTGGAAACTGCAGCAGACTTTATATATACACAGAGAATATGAAACAATACCTCCTCCCACCCCACTGTCCTGCTGGTAATAGTTTATCTAAAGTGATCATCAGGTTGGGCCATTTCCAGCACAAATCCAGGTTTTCTCACCCTCCACCCCCCCCACACAAATTCACTCTCCTGCTGGTGATAGCCCATCCAAAGTGACAACTCTTTACACAATGTGCATGATAATCAAGTTGGGCTATATAAAGTCTGCTGCAGTTTCCACAGGAAAGCTCATGCTCAAATAAATTGGTTAGTCTCTAAGGTGCCACAAGTCCTCCTTTTCATTATAAGGACCCAAATTCTCCCCAGCCCCACAGAGGGATGGGGGCCCCAATTCCCCCTGAGGCCCATAGTAAGGGCTCCAATCCCCCTGAACCCAACAGAAGGGTGGGGGCCCAACCCCCCCCCGAGCCCCATAGTAAGGCTCCAATCCCCCCTGAGCCCCACAGAAGGGGGGCCCCAATTATTTGCCATTCCAGACCCTCCCACCCCCTGTGACCCTTGACTCTGTTTCTGACCCTGGGCGTGATGAGCCCCTTGGGCTTTGCTTGTTTATCTTACAGAGGGTGAGTGACAGGGGGGTCTAAACCCCACTCCACCCTCCTTGGCTTCTTCCCTCCCCCCAGCCCAGGAGAAGCAGCATGTGGCTCTTGGAGAGGATCCGTGGCTCGGTGGAGAACGGTGCTGCCCGGGCCAGCGACTCGGGGGATAAGCAGTCCAAGGGCCCCCTGTACAGCAATGTGCTGACCCCCGATAAGATCCCGGATTTCTTCATCCCGCCCAAGCTCACAACGGTGCCGCCTGAAGCCGAGGGGGCAGAGGGGAAAGCCAAGCCCAACCTTGGCACCTCTGCCTCGGAGCAGAACCTGTCAGCCCGCAAGCCCCAGCGCAGCCCCCGCCTGCCGGTCAAGGCTGCCTCAGAGAGCAAGAACTTGCTGAAGGCCGCCAGCCGGCACATCATCCAGATCGAGAGCGCCGACGAGTGGGCCTCGGAGGAGGACTTCAGCACCAATGCCGATCCCCAGGCCCAGACGGCCATGTCCCTCCCCTACGTGCCCAAGGCCCAGACCTCCTACGGCTTCGCCACCCTCATGGAGAGCCCCCACACCCGGCGCAAGGAGTCCCTCTTCCACAGCGAGCACGGCAGCCTGTGCCAGTCGCAGGCGTCCTCGCCCAGCTCCCCACGCAAGGGGGCAGCCGGGGGCAAGGTGAACGGGGAGAGCGCCCGCCTGACCCCCTCCGACATCGGCATGTCCCTGAGGAACCCCTACCGCTACTTCAGCGGCGGGGAAAGCGACACCTGCTCCTCGGCTGAGTCTTCGCCCTTCAGCTCACCGCTGCTGTCCCGCTCCGTCTCCCTGCTCAAAATCTTCAGCCAGGACAGCCAGGCCAAGGTCATCAAGCTCAAGCACCCGGTGGCCCGGAACAGCTCCCTCTCCACCGACGACAGCTCGGCTGACACCAGCCCCAGCTTGCAGCGGCGCGCTCGGTGCCCCACGCCCCCGGCGGGGGGCGCCCCGCCCCCGTCCCTCCTGCCTTTGGACTCGCCGGACCGCCTGCCCAGGGAGCACACCATCCGGCTGAGCAAAGGGGGCAGCGTGCGGCTCACGGCCGAGTACGACGCCGCCAACGCCCGGCTGCGGGTGCGGGTCATCGCGGCCGAGGATCTGTTCGACAAGCTGTGCGACGCCCGGGCCATCAACTGCTGCGTCTCCCTCTGCCTCAACCCGGGCAAGGTGCAGAAGCAACGCAGCACCATCATCAAGAACAGCCGCAGCCCCGTCTTCAACGAGGACTTCTTCTTCGACTGCCTGGGAGCCGGCAGCGTCAAGAAGATGGCCCTCAAGGTCAAGGTGGTCAACAAGGGCAGCAGCCTCAAGCGGGACACGCTGCTGGGCGAGAGGGAGCTCCCGCTCACCTCTCTGCTGCCCTTCTTGTAAGCCCGTCTGCCGCTCCCCTGCCCTGCTGGGAGGGGGTGGGCAGGGAGGGGTGGGGGGGATCAGAGGCCACCATGAGGGGCGTGGGATGCTCCCCTGGGGTAACGGCATGTCCATCCCAGGCTTTTTGTGTGTGTGTGTGTGTGTGTGTGGCAGAGGGACAAGACTCATCCGACTCCCCCAGGATGGGTCTCATTTGCTGATCGTTCCCTGCGTGGACGTGCCTGGAGGTGGTGACTGCCGTGCGTCCCCTCAGGAGGCTGTGAGTGACTGGCAAGTTGTACGTTCTTCAGAGAAGTGGCGGGGATGAGGCATGCCGGTGGCATCTCCGGGGCCCTGCTGAAGGCATTGCTGGGAGGTGGGTTATCCCTGTGCACCCATCCCTTCTTCCCCCTCCCCTCCCCCCTGCTTGCCTGGGAGCACTTGCCAGTCGGTTTCTCATCTCCACGCTGGGTCCCAAGACCCAGCTGCCTTTGAGTGAGCTGTGGGGGGCCCCTCGCAGGCCGTTCCTGTCAGGCTCAGGCTTGATGTGAGGTGTGCGGGTTGGTCCAGCTGATGCAGTGCAGCACAAAGACCCCCTCTGCCCTACCGAATGGGGGCAGGGGTGGAAGTGGTGGGCACAGCTGATGGCATGTAGAGCTGGGAGAACGATACGGCAAGGCTGAATCCCTGCTGTGTCAGGACCGGTTCTGAGGCATGAGCAGGGCGCAGCCTCCTCAGTAATGAGGAGAAGGGACGCTTTAGGGAACAACCCTGCGCTATCTGGTGGGGCGGGAAAAGATGACCCCACTGGCCTCTTTGATCTCTAATTTCTCTCCTCCTTGGCTGGCTGACAGGCAGAGAGAGGGCAGGGATTGTTGGATAGGGCTCTGCCAAGTTTCGCAACATTGATCTCTCTTAAAGCTCCAGCTCCTGGAGTCTGGGGATTGCATCAGAATTTCAGCTTGCTGGCTTGCTTTTAAAGACGTTTCTAGCCCTCGTGGTTGGAGTAAAGCTTGACGACGTGACCCAGCTGTGACTCTAGTGGCTCAGAAGACCAATAAAATGAGCCTCAAATTTATCACTTAAAAAATTCTTTTTTGTTTGCCAGAGGCTGGGAATAGGTGACAGAATGGATCACTTGATGATGACCTGTTCTGTTCATTCCCTCTGAAGCACCTGGCATTGGCCACTGTCAGAAGACAGGACACTGGGCTAGATGGACCTTTGGCCTGACTCAGCGTGCCAGGCATGAAAATATCACTCGGTCCCTCTGAGGTTACCGGGGCAGCTTTTAATGCCCAATCAATGTGAAAAGCTCCCTCTGCGACCGCTCCGAAGTCCATGGGGATCTTCCCAATGGCCTTCGGATTAGGCTCTTGCACTAGAGAGGCTGCTTTACCTCCCCCAGCCCCAGAGTGCAGTTTAGATAGATCTGCCCCTGGGGGCTCTCCTTCCTCTGGGGAAGGGGCTTCTATAGCTCTGGAAGGGGCTAGCTTGGAGCAGTGGTTGCTTCCACCACAGATGGGAGACGCTTCCCTCTGATCCAGAAGATTTTTGCCTCTGGCTGCTGACTTGAGGCTTCCCAGAAGTAGCTATGGCATCCAGAAGATGCACTGTCCAAACCCCCCCCCCCCCCACCCACACTTCCTTCATCTCTGCGCCCTGCAGAAGTGGGAGGGGGGGACAGTCTGATCTACTTTGTTTAAAAGCTGCAACAGTATTTAACCCCTGCCAGGCTGCCTCCACATCGCTTAGCGGGAATGCACCCACAGGAGAACAGTCCTTTTCTCAGCATCAAGCCGGCTTCTCCCTTGTGGCAAGGACACTGTGGTGTGTTAATAACCATTTGGGATTATCCAGAGCAGCAGCAAGCCACTGCAGGGAGCAGCAGGGCCAGTAACCACCACAGTGGCTCGCACAGGGAGGTGGGAACCTGGTTCTGAGCATTGCACAAACTGGTCTGACCACTGTCGGGAGGAGGTGGGAAATGAAGTGTGCAAAATCAAAGGCAACGACTGGGTCCTGGCCTGACCTTGTCTCTGAGCGCCCTATGCAGCAGGGCCGGAGGTGCAGAAGGGGAGAACAACACACCATGTTTGTGTGGCTCATCCTTTCCCTCTTGGCTTATAACCTGTGTCGGGAGGGCAGCAACCTTCGCGCAGGAGCTGTGCTTGTTAAGATGCTGCATGAACGGCCTCTGGGTTCGTTAGTGGCCTCAGCACAGGCGGATTCCTAGTGCGTAGGAGATGGCTTTGCTGGAGCAGAGACAACCAGGGTTACACCATTAAGATCCACAGAAGAGAAGCATGGGGGAGAAACCCACTGGTGGGGACGGCTCACTTGGCCATAGATAAACCGGGACCAAGCCCTCTCCGCTTATTATGTGATACGCACCGAGAATCTGGCTTGACAAACAGCCAGAGCGGTGGGAATTCCCCCACCCCAACCCCATTATGATTCTGTTTCTCTGTCGCTGCAGACTGATTAGAATAATCAAGTCAGTGGTTGGGGGCGGGGGGGTGCATCAGACAGTGGTCTGAGGAGGGGGGGGGGTGTGCATCTCGCCAGTCTTGTCCAGGGAAATCTGTGCAATCTGTGACTCTGGAAGCTATTGCAGTGTTTCTCAAACACCTTTCCCCTGGGCTGGCGTGCCGGGAAATCAGACACCGGCTCCAGACAAGGGTGCTAGTCTGGGTCCCTGGTTTCTTTATTTTTTTTATTTATTTATTTTTTTAAATTGGGGAGCAAACTGTTTTCTTTTGCCACCTCCTGTTGCTTCCCTCCCTTTCTCTGTGGTTCTGGAACTAGAATTCAGCAAAACTAGGAAGGCAGAGAGAGAGTGTGTGTGTGTTTTCCCCTAGCCCAAACAACCCCTCCCCCACACAGAGACCTTTCTTATTTGTCCTTTTATGTGATATGAACGTTGCATCAGGTTCTCTGCATGTGTGTAGTTTTTTGTGTGTGTGTGTGGGGATTGTATGAGCCAATATCCCCACCACCCTGCTCACACACACGTGCACATGTGGGCACACACATGTGCATGCACACACGCTGATCATTGTTCCTTTTTCTTTTTTTTAATTAACCTTCCTTGGCTGCGTTCGATGTTACTTTCCGATACTACGCAGCAGATGGCAGCTGCAGAAATTTCAGTGTAAGCTATTTATATTCCAAGCTGATCGTTCCCACTGTATTTTATTTCTGTATGTAAATATGAGTTTGGATCTACCCAAGGCATGGTTTTGAATAGTTCAATATTTGCATGTTTTTCCCTGCCCGCCCGCCCCCCGTTATACTGATATGATTGTTACTGACTTTCAAGTTTGTGATTTTTTTTTTTAAACAAAACCAAGGAATAAAACAAAGACGCCCTTGCCAGAAAACTAAAACCCAACCCCAGCCTTGAGACCTTTAGGGGGGTTAATTTGCGCAGCTGCTGCCTCTTCTGATCCATTTCAGAAAGAGCTAAGCACAGTAGGGGCTTGATGCTCCTAGAAATCAATGAGAAAATTCCCATTGACTTCAGTGGCGCAGAATCACCCCATGCAGGCCGCCTCCCCTCCTTTTGGATGATTTGTTGCAAGTCTCCCTCTTTTAGTAGATGTCCCCGTCTGTCTGCGGGACACTGGTGGTGCCTGGGGTCATGCAAAGCAGGACATTGAGCTGGGACTGTGAACTGCTTCTAAGCTTGTGGAGGGAATAGAGGAAGGCTGGATTCTGATGCTTTACTTCGGTAAAGCTTCCGTTGGTGCTGATTGCTGGAGCCCTTACTTAGGCGGAGGTTACAATGAAGTCCGTGGGAGCTTTGCCTATGTGCAAACTTCAGGGTTTGGCCCAGTGGGACAGCTACTCAAGAGAACCCAGGTCTAGTGCTCTGTTCCCAGCTCTACCACGGATCTGCTGAGTGGCCAGGGGCCAGTCACTTCCCTGCTTTGTGTCTCCGTTTCCCTGTCGGTACAACATGAAGCACTTTGAGAGGTATGGATGAAAGCATCATTTAAGAGGCATTATTATTACTTAACTTGCATGAGTAAGTGCACTTCAGGATCAGGCCCTTTGTAAGGACTGGCCCATCTAATTCGGTGAATGCAGGACGGTGCCCTTATCTGGGGGAGACTATCCTAGCCCCTCTTTGATAACTGCTGCGCAGGGCCCAATCCAAACTCCATTCACATCAGTGGGAAGATTCCCGTTCATTGCAGTGTGCGAGGACAGGGTGAACTGTGATGCACCTAGAGTAGGGTTGCTGGGGGGTCCGTTGTGGGTCATCTCATGAGAAGGTTCTTGGTTTGCAGCTAGCGGCTTAAAGGCACAAAAGTGTGTGTGTGTTTGGGGGGGGGGGTGGGGGAGGGGAGAAATTACCTCTTCATAAAACTAAATCCGCCACATTATTGAGAGCAGTGCGTGACTCCACTAATCCCCAGCCCGGTTTAACAGCAGATCGCAGAATCCCTGGGATCAGAGTGAACAGATCCAGAGGGTCAGCCAGCGCTTGCCATGGCCAGCATAACTCACTGCTCAGCCACTCCAACCTTTAAGTGAGAGTAATGCCTAGTAATCAAATGCTAATTAATTCATTTACAGACTAATGCACTGACTTTATTGATGTGCATTCTCTTTACTTAAAATAATTTTTAATGAGGGTGGCTAGGAGACTTCCTGGCATATTTATTCATTTTTCAAATAATTTGCAACAAACACAAATCATTTAACAAGTCATTGTTTTTTGCTTTGTAATAGGATTCAGAAATCACCCTACCCCCACCCCGAGCACAGCCATGTGCATTCCCCTTTGGAGCAGTCTGCAAAACTCTTGGGGATATTGATAGGAATTAGAAGGGAGGCTGCATATCAAGAGCTTTTGAGTCCAACAGGGAGTTGGTGAATTGCTGAATATTCAAGTTCAATTAAACCTGCAGGCTACCAGAAAGCTGCCTTTTGTTGGCCCCATTGGACCACTAACTTTCAAACTGACGTGCTGACCTGGTTAGGAGTTGGGCCACTCGAGCAGGTCTGGGTTGAAACACAGAAGAATGGACCCATGACTGGAGTTTGGCATCCAGCTGCTGCTGCAGAGAAGTAATCTGCCGCTCCGAAGGAATGAGACCTGTGGGCTTTGGGTAGTGCTGGCTCTTGGTCTCTCTTCCTTAGTGGGGCTGAAGGAGGGGAGTGCTAGGAGATCGGGTTGCTTATAATTCATTGTCTGGAGGTTGTGCGCACCTATGTGTTGGCTTGCCATTTCAGTTCAGCTTTTAGATGTGTGGCATCTTCCGAGGGGAGCTGGTGTTTCGTGAGTTAGGAGCATCCTTTGTTCATAGACCACCATCTAATGCGTCCCTGTGCAGGACTCAATGGGGATGGGATGGAATGAGACCATCTAGACAATGTGTAGTGCGAGAACCATGCTGGGACTGATCTGCAAGGCTGGGGATGCTAATATTAGTCATAGAGTGTAAGTGAGCCAGTGGGAAATCTGCAGGGTTGGGCCCGCACTCTCTATATGATACCCATGAAGGAAGCATGGGCAGCTCCCTGATGGAAATTAAGATCCCTCTCCACTCTTAGTTCCTGAAGGAATTCTCCCAAGGGGCTGTCCATAAATTACATAGCGCGGTTGGTGATTTTCAAGACGTGGCCCTTGTAACTCTGAAACAAACATGCAAACTGAAGAACCCACTCACCCCACCATGTGTTACATAGTTTAGGGACAGCCCCCAATGAAAGAAGCACATGGGTGCAGGGCAATTTCTCATGGGGATCCATTGCAGGTGGATGGGGAGAGGTTTGGGTCAAATTCCATCAGACCCCTGAGCAAATCCCCCTGGCAGCAGGATGAGTAGAATCTCAGTCACTGAGATGAAGCTTGCCTCAGTTTGTTTTTTCAGGGGTGGAGGGAGGTGAGTTTCTAAGGTGGCAGTGGGGGACAGTTGAGTCTCCTTCCTGCTCAGGAGCCTGGTTCATGGGAATGTATGATCTGGTCCAGGTGAAATTATACCATGGAAACCTCCCATTATTGGCATTAATGGAGACTCTTTATCCCGGGTGAAGCCTGTTAGCATCTCTCAGAGGTGGTGCCATCTGTGAGGGGCTCTGATTGGCTACACCTGGAACGACACTGGGCTCTGGAAGGGTCAGCAAGATGACCCTTTCTTTCAATGGGCCTGCTCTGCCCAGGACTTGTGGACACTGAGCAGGAACCAGGCCCCAAGAGACTGGAGGGGAAATTGCACTGGGAGTCTTTTCCTGTTCTGTTCCTTCTGCAGGAAGACCAGGCCTACCTACTGGTGCTGCTGGCCTTGGAAGAGATAGTGAGTGGATTGTCTTCCCCTCTGACCCCAGCATGTGGCCAATGGTCACTTGTGCTCCTGGTTACGCTAGCTGAATGGGCTTGATCTAATTCCCCCTGAAGCCAGCAGTAGTTAGCTCTGGGGGGTGGAGAACAGAGTCTGAGGCTATCTCCGAATACGATCCCGGTGAGTCCAAGCCAGTGGATGTTGACGTCCATGGAAAGATGTCCCCTGACCTCAGGATCAGGCCCCAGGAGAGATGGTGCGAAGAAGTTTTAGGGGTAACCCAAGTAAAATTCGTCACTAAGGAGGGCAGGTTTCATCCCTCTTCCCACCAGGCTAATTAGGAAGCAAGCAGGGTTGATAGAACACCCTGATTGTGGGAGGGCATTAATTAGTTCTCACGCCTTTGCCCGTGGTGCTTTTAGTGAGCAGGCGATTAGCAATGACTGGTGGGTATAGACCGTGAAGAAGTGGCTTTTTATAAAGGCCTCTGACTGTTCTGAGCCGGTCACTACCCCATTTAGATTTGAACACGATGCACCAAGGGTTTGCACCGGGTTTTTTTTTGTTTGTTTTTTTTTAATTACTCCAGCAGCTGGAGATTTATTAAACCTGAAGCTTGGAAGACCAATATCTCCTTCTGCCCACAGCCACAAAGAACAATGACCAGTGCCCTACTCGGAGGGATCCCTCCCCTTCCCATCAGGTGTCTGGGTTTGGCTATAGGCCTGGACTGTAACTTCCCACTCTGGGACGGGGGGTGTGATTGCAGCTCGTGTGGACACCCACAAGTTACCTTCACCCTGCCTAACTTGGGTCCTGGAGCAGGGAGGCCGCAGTAGCACAGACTGGACCCTGCCGGGACCCCAGGTAACTGCTCGCAGGGCCACCCCATGCTGAAGCACACGCTGCTGTGGTGTTCCAGCGAGGGAGGTTAATGCCGAGATACATCTACTGAGCACCAGCCCTACCCCGGGACATCCCCTTCGTGAGGGGCACGGATGGGAGGGATCAGGCGAGGATGCTTCTCCAAACTTAGCACAGCTTCCTTGGGCGGGGTGGTGGGGCGTGAACCGGAGCCCCCTGAAATCGGTGGAAGGCGCCTAGTGGCTCAATAGGCTATGGACTGGGTCTGTGGGAGAACGTGTCCTTGTACCATTTCCAGCACTTTCTGGTTCCATGCATGAGGCATCAGAGCTGGGGGAGCACAGAAATTTTCTCTGTGTGTGTGCACG